ACGTCACAAAAACATCCCGTGCCGCTCCCATACCTTAGGTACTGACACAGAAGCGCTGGACCAATATTATAAAGGTTTTATGCTTTAATGTTCCTATATTATGAAAATCCCTGGGGGGAGAGGCCTTTGTCCAGCAATGGACGTTCTTTGGCTAAAACGAACGAACTTAAGTTGAATTAACACTTTGACAGACATCTTAATCTCCCACGTCATTCAACATAGTCGTGATCGTCTGTCAAAGTATTAAGCTTTAAAACGGTGGAATACCATCACCGGTAGTGTAGTCACGGTGACGTAACGCGCATGACATTCGGCTTGCTCACGCGCACCGATGACCGTCGATCAAGGTCGCGTATTTGTTTACTCTAGAAGGCAATAATGTATGGGGACTAATCCCACCTCTTTTCTTATTACTGCAACTATTTTTAAACAATACAAGGCAGGTATTTCACCGCTATCACTCCTGATATTGATGGGACTATTCCCACCTCTCGTTCCCACCGCTGCAACTCCTGTGTAGCCAGGATCTACAGCTTTACATCCAATAAAAAACTTAAGCGAAAGATATCACTGTCATTGGATGCATAGCGAATTTAATCAGTAGAAAATAGACGGAGTTGGAAGTTTACAGACTTCCCTCATTTTCATCAACTTTTCTGAAAACTACCTTAAAAACTTCATTTTAGTCCTGAAAACCGTTTCCAATTATTATAGCTGTAATTTTAGATTCCTAGCCTTAAATCGATAAATAATGTTTATTAATTAAAAAATCACGGGTTCCTTTTTAACAAAATCTTAGGGGGCCGTGTTATGACAGCTCACAAAAAGTATGTCAATCGACTAATGGTCAACTACCCTATACCATGGACCTAACCGTATTCCCAACCAATAATAGTATTTCTAGTGACAGCGACCGGAAAAATAAATTTGTAGTTTCCACGTATAATTTAGCTTTCTCTGCGTAATGAATGACCAATAACATTCTCACCTTAGCCACATAGCTCCCTTTCTAAACGGCTATTTGGTTCTTAAATCCAAGGTCCGAAAGAATCATTTCTGTTTCTAAGACTATTATAATATATGGATTATTGAGAGTCTCACGCAACATCATCAGATCAATTTTATCCCCACTGCAAGATTTACACACTCTCTAATGTACCAGAGGCAAATGGAGGATTTGGAGTACACTCCCCACGCTGGCCAGACGGGTTGGGGAGACGGTTATCTGACATATTTTATTAACTTTTCCCAAGTTTTCCATCAGAACAAGTTATTGGCCCCATAGACTTGGCACCTAACGCGTCCACCCACACCATTGCAACACTTGATGACACTGACCCAGTGATGTCACGGTGATGTCATTAGTGTTTAATAGCTGGTGACAGAATTATGACAAAAATTATATTCTAATATTCTATCAATCATAGGATTTACCTCTACTTAAGATACAATATTATCTTCCTCTGTCTAAGAAGGACATAGACAAAGTAGAGTTAGTTACAACACTATTTAGAACTCAAGAAGAAGTGGACGGATTTTAATGGTCTAATGCCCGTTTTTACCATCAATCCCTAATTTTTAAGTGACCCCTATGACAACAAAATTCATATTATTATGTCACTATAGGGGTCACTTAAAAATTAGGGATTGATGGTGAAACCGGGCATAAATCCAACAAGGATTCATCTCCGCCCTAAAATGAGTTTGAAACTTTACCATCTTTTGAATATTGAAACTTTATCATCTCTTGAAAGCCCAGCAGTTGACGACAGAAATTGACTGTTAAGTCAGTTACCACAAAAATAAATTATAAAGACTATTCAAAATCAAAATCAAAAATATTTATTCAGTTTAGACCACAAGTGGCACTTATGAACGTCAAAATATAGTAAATAATAAAAAGAAAAGGTAGCCCTTATGGGGCACTTTACATGTCTCCTTATCTTTTGGGCCCTACCAGCGCTTCGAGACAAACATAAGGCAAGTGCTGAGAAGAAACGCCGGAACAAACTCTACTATTACTCGCGAAAATTAATTAAATGCTTTACAAAACTCATAATATTCCGCAATAGTTAAGGTCATAGGGAAATGCTAATAAGTTTGCAAACTTTCGACCTTCGCGTCTTCCAATGATGCGCTAAGTACGCTGCTCACGTAGCGGTTTTATTCGCGAATCGAAGATCTATCACTTCTCTCTTTCATCGATGTGGGTTCTGTGGTGAGAGAGCGAGACGTATAGTGAGACGTTTTACAGAATACGACCCGTAATACAGTGTGAGTCACGTTAAAGTGTACATATGAAAATAGGTGAAACTAGACCTATTTTTATCGACAAAAAAGAGGTCAAAATTTTTTTGAGATTTTTTTTTAATTTATTATAGAATTTTTTTTCTTCCAATTACTTATTTTAAAGAAATCGTAATAACTTTTAAACTAAGAGGTATATCCTGATAAAATAAAAACAGTAATAATGCTAAATAACAGACGATACTAAATAAATACATAAAATACTCAGAAAATGACAACAAATAATAAAAAAATATACTGTTTGAAAAAAATCTGCTTAAAAATTCGTGTTTTTTTTGGTTATTTGACAATTTCTCCAAAAAATGCCCCTATAACAGGTGGTTTTTATTGTTTTGTATTATTTTCTATCGTATTGCCTTTGTAAAATAAAAAATCGCATGTCTCTATCCCTATCACAACATTTGCTATGATAGTTTGAACAAAGGCCTGCCACCACATTATTCTCCGCTACAGGTAGGGACAATTTTAATTTTAACTAAAATGCTTGTTTTACTTCGAAATCTTTTGTTTTTATTTGAAATCTGACTTGTCTTTATCAAATTTACAAATGTAGAGCCACTTTCAGTTTCGTTGTTAACGAAGCGTTGAATGGCGCGCCCGGAGAGGCTTAGTTCGAACGATCATAGCAAATGTTGTGATAGGGATAGAGACATGCGATTTTTGGTTTTACAAAGGCAATACGATAGAAAATAATAAAAAGTAATAAAAACCACCTGTTATACGGGTATTTTTAGGAGAAATTTATCAAATAACCAAAAAAACAGGAATTTTTAAGCAGATTTTTTTCAAAAAGTATCAATTTTTATTATTTGTTGGCATTTTAGGAGTATTTTATGTATTTATTTAGTATCGTCTGTTATTTAGCATTATTACTGTTTTTATTTTATCAGGATATACCTCTTAGTTTAAAAGTTATTACGTTTTCTTTAAAATAAGTAATTGGAAGAAAAACATTTCTATAATAAATTTAAAAAAAATCTCAAAAAAAATTTGGCCTCTTTTTTGTCGATAAAAATAGGTCTAGTTTCATATATTTTCATATGTACACTTTAACGTGACTCACACTGTATAAAATATCCCTATTTCAATTTATGAAAGTTAGAAGCTTACTATGCCTAAACCACTAAACCAATTTTGATGAAAATTGCGACGAATATTTATTGCAGAGGACATAGAATACTTTTTTATTTATTTATTTATTTAAAGGCACCACAGAATACAGTTTTTGTCAGGAAAACAAAACTTGAAGGGGATGTAAGTTTGTAATATGGGGAACCACCAAACCATTTTTAGTATTATGCGCAACTTCGTACGTGTGGACCATGATTTGCCCCCGTTAGATATTGTGTTGATAGATGGTGTTTCACGGCATGAATATTTACGAATGTCAAAAACAGTGGTTTGCCGAGCGCTGTAGATTTTAGCCAATGACGATAGATAGCGCTTTTTAGACGTCTTATTTATTTGTTGAAATTTATTTGTCACATAATACCGTCATAAATTGTGGCGTATGTGTTGATCTGGTTTGTAAACAATGCTACTGTGGAGTTTCAGTGGAATACGTTCGGTGGTTTTTGCGTGGAGAAGTAAAGAACACCCTGACATCAAAACTTTCGCCTTTATAATATTAGTATGATATTGATTGGTATTTCCCCTAGTCGTTTTTTAAACATTTTTACTGATAGCGGATGGTGGGAGGGTTCATTTCGTTTTCGTGCGCTTCGCGGATTCCCTAGCAAGAGCTGAAAATCAGTGTTCTGCCCTTTTCAGGGCAGTGTTTACATTGAGCTCTTTGCTTTTTGCATCGCTGCGACACACATCATGCAGGAAGTATTCTTCCACTTGTTACTGCTTTTGTTTGTTTTATGCATGCTTATATAACTAGTATTCTACTGTATTCTATTCTTTTCTTATTATTGTTATGCTGCAACTTTACTCTTTATGTGTGTTAAGTGTATGCAAATAAATGATTTATCTATCTATCTATCTATCTTTATTCAAAAAGTATTTTTGAGAAGATTTTCTGTGACAAATTTACATGAGTCAATGAAGACACATTGTCCATATCCGGAATCGAAGGCGTGACCGACAGAGTACGGTTTAGTTCTAAAATGCCATTCAAGATTCGTGACTTGATGGAGGTCGGTAGACCATTGGAATGCTACCGAATATACTTATTAATCGATACTAATATAGATAGGAAAGTATGTCTGTCTGTTACGTTTTTACACCTAAGAGACCGCACAGCAAACTACAGACTTTTCCTCTTAGTCGGTCGATAGTTTCTAAGAGTCTCAACAGACAACACATAGTGTCAGCCCAAAACTCCGCCACAAGAGTGGCGTTGTCAGTAGCATTCATTAAATCCTCCTGAGTGCAGTTGCTCGGGCACTCAGGGCACGACATCATGACAACGCCACTCTTGTAGCGGAGTTTTGGGCTGACACTGTGTAGGTTTGTTGTCAACACGATAAGAAGAAGAACAGACAACAGTTTTTTAATGGGTCGATAGATTGGTCAGCTTCTGATTTGTATTAGAAATCGGCCAACACCAAATTGATATAATGTGCGCACTTCCATACATGTATGAAAGCCGCAGCTTCAATTCCCAACCTCAAGAATTCAAAAAAAGTAAAGGTGCAATCCTGAAAATTTGTCCTTTATAAATACATAACAATAATGTTAAAACTGACCTTCTTCCTCCTCCATGTTTCTTTCCTCCTCAGACGAGGCAAGCTCTGACTGCTATACTTGGACGGCTCATCACTCATTTTGTAACACAATAACTATTTTTGTAACATTTCACCACTATTATCAACTATTTTTGTAACATTTCACCACTATTAACAACTATTTTTGTAACATTTCACTACAGTTTACAACTATTTTTTTAACTTTTCACCACAGTTAACGACTATTTTTGTAACATTTCACTGTCACAGAGTTACAGTAACTTGGTCATTGTCCATTTTGTGTTACAGTTTTTAACACTTTTTACGCACTTTAGAATCAAACTTGTTACATCTGGAATTAACAAATAGCTATCGCAAAGCTTACACTGGAATACTAATACTCACAACTTAATCCTACTAATCATCATCATCATCATCATCATCTCAGCCACAGGACGTCCACTGCTGAACATAGGCATCCCCCAATGCTTTCCATGTTGCCGGCATCCTAACTATCCTACTAATATTATAAATGCGAAAGTTTACGTATAGATGTTAATTATGTTTGTTGCTCTTTCACGCAAAAACTACTGAACGGATTTTGATGAAACTTTTCAGTATTATTGTTTACACACATCAGAATAATTACCTATACTCCATAATTTATAAAGATCTGTGACAAATTTAATTTCACGCCGGCGAAGCCGTGGGCAAAAGCTAGTAGGTAATTAATGTAATTCTTTATCTTTGACCCCATCGATAGGAATGAGTTATCAAATTAATTAAATTATTGAGTTGTTTATGGAAAAACATGTTTGTGGTAATTAAGCTATGGGGAATTTTATCAAGCTATATATTAACTATACTTATCATGACATTTAATCATTAAAATGAAATACTGTTCAAATTCATATTTTAAATGTTTTATTGCACGCATATGGTACAGTCACGGAATGAAAAGGTTCGTCAGTTTTCAAATTGATTCCTTCAACGAATCGCGAGCACATTTAGGGTAATTGCGCCGGTTTTCCGTCCAGCTCCTGTTTTCGTCCATTTGACCGACTTGCCACAAACAAATACGGAAAATTTGAATACAAACCTAACTTTCCGTGAAAGTTTGGACTTCTTACATTCTATAATATCTAAGTAACAGTTCTGTCCGCATGAAAATGTAATTTGACAAGTAATAACTCCAAAAAAATCTACGGAAGTTGCTGCTGCACACAGGTGAATGGAAAACGTCGTCAAGTTAGAAAAAAACGTGCCGGTAGGGAACTTTCATGGTATGTTTAATTACTGTTTTAGCTACTTTACGTAATGTTTTTGGCACGTATGTCTAATTATTAGCATAATAAACACTATTTTAAGGGTTTATTAAAGTTTTTGTATAGAAATCTTAGATAATTAAGTGGACTAATACTAGCATAACAATTTTGCAAGATTTTGGTTTTCGTCCACGTGGACGGAAACCCTGACACCTAGTTAATATTTTTAATAATCATTTTACTTCAATGGACCTACAAAATACAATGTTTTTTCTTCCAATATGATCTTTATTGCTATTACATTAAACATTTTAGTTTACGTCCACTTTTTAACAGTGATAAACCCATAAAAACCGTTAAAAAGATGTGGACGAAAACAAAAAACAGCTTTAAACGTTGTTGTGTTTTCGTCCATGACGTCATGAGCAAGCACTGGGGTGGACGAAAACCAAAATTAGCTATTCCTGTAGATTAGTTTTCGTCCATTTGTCCTTCGACCTATTGAAATATTTTCCTAAATTTAGGTAAGAAACTTATTTTAATCTTTTTGATATCATTTGAAAGCTAACAAAATTACCTTTCAAATGATATACCACAATCCATAGTTACTGTATTGTAGAATTGGTTTTAAGTTAATAATTCAACTGCACCCTTTTTTCTACACAGTGGTCGAAAACTAGCGTACACTAGGACGAAAACTGATTTTTTTGGACGAAAACTAGTGAAATCGCCTCTTTTGCATAAAATATTTTTTATAAAAAAACCCGTGGTATTTACTTATTGTCATATAATATTAACGTAAAGTAGACTATATAAGGACTAAAATGACATATGATACATATGAGTAAGGGTATTTCAAGATATTCATTTCGCATCACAAAGTTGGCAACTCCGATAATTGGACGAAAACTAGCGCACTTACCCTATTACCTTTTGAAACTATGTTACAGAATAATCTCGAGTTAGAGAAAATAATCTTTAACTGTTCGTCAGTAAAGTTCAAAATTATTCAGATCAAAGTTGTTTGACGATTTAACTTGTCAAGAAGATTATTATGATTGATAAACTAAAACCTTCTTGTTGGTTCAACCTGCCATTATCTATTAAATAAAATAAAAACTACATTTTGTAACATTGCATGGGATAGAAAATTAAACAAGCAAAACCTTATTCGTTAGCAAACGTCATATTTATTTAAATGTTAGCAGCACTGTTTCTTGCACGGTTATGTTGGCAGGTTTGACTCTTATAGTACCTAGTGCAAGCGAAAACCGACACTAAGGTGACGAACCTTTTCATTCCGCGACTGTACATTAATGTTATTCCCATAATGTATGAAATACAGTCAGCTTCAAATAGTTCGTGACACCCAAAGTGGCCAAAAAGTGGACAACACAACCTTATTCCAATTGTAACAAAGACGTGTTGCGAACTGTTTGGCCACTTTGGGTGTCACCACAGAATAATAATAAGTACTACGTACAGAAGTTTTACTTCGCGAAGGTATTTAAAAAAATGTATGCTCAATGTCATTAACAATATGGTGTAATTTAGCCTGTCTCAAGAGTCAAGCACCATTTTGTTGACAAACGTCAGTGATCGGCACTGCGCCGAAGCTATAGGGCTGACTTCGGTAAAATGATGACGTGAGGTGCCAAACTGCGGAAAATGTGGCGGAGGAAATGCATGATTGATTTGGCATGAATTATCATGAATAATATTAACTACTTATTTACCTCTCAGTGTCTTGAGTCGTTCGTGTTTTGTTTTTGATTTAAACTCGCGGTGATGAACAGGCCTGGTGTCACGAACTATTTGACGCAGACTGTACGAAGTAATATAAAAAAAATCTTTCTTTCTTTCATTTGTAACCATGCAAACGCTAGTGCAATATACATTTAAGATATCTTACATCTGAGTCGTAAACGATTGATAAATTTTGCAGTAACAAAAAGGGCGTAACTCCAAATACAACTTTTTTCCAAACCAATAACTTTTTTTTCAAACTTCACTACACTTTTTGCACAGATTTAACACTTGAAATAATATATTAAAACATATTAGTATTCACAATTAATACGGTCACGTATTGAAGTAGTTATACCAAGACTAAATAGCTCTTGCCCATATCTCTACAATCGTATGTTATCATTGATAAAAAAATAACTCGATACTATCAGACTGTGTCATTGTTACTGAAGTTTTATTTTTAGACTGCATTTTTTATTTATTTATTTATACTTTAATGCTAAAATTTTAACATTAAGTGAACTTAATGCCATAAGGCATTCTCATCCAGTTTACCTTCGGGTTATGCAGAAAAATTAGTATTAATTTTTTTTTGTGAAAATACATATAATAAAAAATACTGAAGCATTCCTAAAAAGTTTTGACTTGATTTAATTTTTTTTTTTGTGCCACACAAAATATAAATAAAAGAAATGGCACAATTTAGACGGTCTTATCGCTAGGAAGCGATCTCTTCCAAACAACGCGGACCTAAACTAATTCGTCAGTTATTTTGCACTAGGGCCTTTGGCTGTGATTAATTTCCCAATTTTGTACAAAATACCTTAGTTTAGTATTTAACTTAGGTATCAAATCGACTGTTCGTCCTTGCGCTTTTTATGATTCCGGAAAAAAATAAGTATGTTTATATCCGTTACATATCGAATACAAGCTTAATTTGCTGATTTACACGTTTTAAGTTGTTAACTAAATTTTAACTTGAAACTTGCTACTAAATACTGAGTTTACATGCAATTAGTCACTTAAATTTTAGTTAACTAATGTGTAGCACTAGATGGCAACTTGTAAAACGTCCTAAGATATTATTATTTTAAATTAACACTTTTATAGAACCAACTTCAACAACTTTTTTCCACAAAACACCTTTTCAAGACTATTTCACGGCACACACTAACGTGATTTGAAATGGATGACAATATTGACAAACATTTGCTATGATCTCGGATAGTGTAATACCTGCAAATTGTTTTGTAAACAAGCCTCCCTTTCTAGTACACTATAGTTTGTTGGTTGCGTCATTCTGACGTAATGTAGATTATAGAGTCATCTCTTATTTTTTAAGGTTTTTTAACCAGAGATTTTTTACATAAAATTGGACTGCTCTAAGATGCTTCTTATTTCATCATCATCATCAGGTCATTTAGTCTCCACTGCAGGACCACGACCCTCTAATGTACCAGAGGCAAATGGAGGATTTGTCCTACACTCCCCACGCTGGCCAGACGGGTTGGGGAGGCCTGATGTCCGCATATTTGTCCCTTAGTCACTTACGACATCCACGGGAAGAGTGGGAGCGGAACACGGTCCTCTCTAATTTACCAGAGGCAAATGGAGGATTTGTCCTACACTCCCCACGCTGGCCAGACGGGTTGGGGAGGCCCGATGTTCGCATATTTGTCCCTTAGTCGCTTACGACATCCACGGGAAGAGTGGGAGCGGAACACGGTCCTCTCTAATTTACCAGAAGCAAATGAAGGATTTGGCCTACACTCCCCACGCTGGCCAGACGGGTTGGGGAGGCCTGATGTTCGCATATTTGTCCCTTAGTCAGAAGAAGACAATATAGGAGTTTATTAAGTACCATTTTATAGCCTTGCTTGTTAAAATAAATTGTAATTTAACTTGGATCACATTGTTACCAGGGTTCGAAAATATCCGATATTTATTATAAATATCAAAATATCGGATATTTATGATATATATCCGATATACAGGGTGTTTGGCGCATCGTGTGCC